TATTTAAGTCATAATAAAGAATTTTGCATTTTAATTTAGTACTTTTTTGCCTTTTTTTGAACTGGAGTGAGTGAGCTGTTGTGAAAAACTTATAGGGGTGAATGATACTGGAAAAGGTTGAGAAGCACTGCTTTGGAGTATCATAGTTGTTAAGCTAATTATGTATTGAATAATATACAAAGAAAAACTGCTTAATTAGTTATTGTGATAAGTGTAAAAACTTATCCATAAAAGTTGAAACAACCTAAATTGTTTATATGATTATTCTGATGGTTGAATTTTGCATTGATGAAGGTCAATTATTTTATCTGGTAGGAATTACAAGCTTGTGATAAGTCAGAAAATATAACACACCTAGACTGGAATCATGTTTCAAAAGATACTGCCCTTTCCTTTCTGTGTTACATGTACAGTGGATACTTTCCAGGAACATCCAATATACAAGAAATTTTATCTCTTGCTGAAAGGTTTGTTGAGTAATTTTCCATATGTTTATGAATTGAAGGTAATATTTTATTATTGGTACTTAAGTTATGGTATAATTAAATGAAATAAATAAGAGTGGATTTTTAACACACTAAATTTTATGTTCTATCAGATTGTCTGTATCTGTTATTTTAATCATTAAAAATCTTTGTGTAAGAATATAAAGTTTAATATATAATTTAACCATTTCTAGTCCACAAGAGTGTCACTGATATTTCTTGACTTTTCTTTCTTACAGTGGAATTACTTAACCAAATCACATGAAACTCAGTACTAACTTAATAAATGGTATCTTGTTTTGGCTTAAAAAATCTGTTCAATCTGATTTAGTAGTTCTGTAATTTTTTAGATTGTGAAAAACTTTTCCAAATTTGTTTATGATACATTGTTTTGGAAAAACATTAAGAATACTTCCTTTATTTTCATAGGTTAAATTTTTTTAATAATGATCAGAAGTTCCATTTTGTATAGCCAGTCATTTTCAACTCGATTGATATTCATTAGTATATTTCTTTTGAAACTTTATTTTGCTGATTGCAATAGTCATCATTTCCATCCATAAATCATGAAAAATGTTACAAAACTGACAGAGATTTATTGGTAACCAATTAAAATGGCAACACCATTACCTTTATTTTTATTTTTTCCTAACACTGTTTTTGGTTGAAATCAGTTTGTATCTAACTTCAGATTATATACCTTTGTTTCCTTCTACAGGAGTTCCGACATGTTATTTCTGGAGAAACCATAAATTACTGCTCAGACCACTTTATTTACTTTACATTTATGTAAATAAATTATAATCTGCTCTATCCAATCATATTTAAACATTATATATAACTTTTTTCAAAGCTGTGCTTCTTTAATAATAGTATAGACTGCATGCTGTATGACATCATAAAAGAGTGGGAATGAAGTGTAGTAGTATAAAACCACTGATGAAAAGGAAAATAATGTGAGGAGAAAGGCATCAATAATTTTATTTTCAAGGGATGAGAGTTTTTTTAGTAAATATAAACGTATATTTTGGGATGTGAGGAAAAATTATAAAAACTGTGTTGTTAACGGGCAAGACTCCTCAAAGCTGTGCAGACATTAGAACATTTTTTTCTTTTCTTTGTGAATTATACTAAATATCTGTTAAAAAACACAGTTCTAAAATAGTTTTGAGTTAAATTTGTTTAAAAAGAACCATAATTATTATTTTTAACTAAAGTTTGTAATTTGATATGCAGTTGGGCACTGAACACTTGGAAGGTTGGTTCTCTGCGATCTGGATAGGGTTAAATACAAATATATTAATGTGGAATAACTTTTAAGATTTATACTTTTGATTAGGTTCTATTTTAGAAAAAAGAAGGATATAATATTAAGAGAAAGTAAAATTGCAAATAAATTATAAGTAAAAGTAGTAGTAATATGATTTAATCAATAAAAGAATGTTTTTCCATAGGTACAAAGTTGTGTATCTTGTGAAACACTTACAGAGGTTGAAAAAAGACTGTGATATTTATAATGAAGAGATAAAATATGAAACACAGAAGGTGGATTCTGATGATGATGAAATGAATGAAGTATTTCATTTTATATGTTCTCAAAAACCTGATTTCTGTGAAGATCTCCCATCAAATGATGAAAATTTTGGTAAGAGAAAAACAAGTTTCAAATATTTGGTGTGGTAAAAATTCCTTTCCAAAGTCATTGCATTAATTTAAAATGTTAAATCTTTCTTTTTATGTATTTTTTTTTCAGACCATAACTCTCTAATTACTAATCTGTTTTTACACTATATAAATATTACATTATATTGAGTAATTTAAAATTTTTACCCATTACAGCACTCATTGTAAAGAACTGATGAAAAAATAGGGTAAAAGCAATTATTTTTGTCCCCCAGTGGGACAGTGGTAAGTTTATGAGCTTATAATGTTAAAATCTGAGGTTCTTTTCCCTATAGTGGACACATCAGATAGCTTTGCTCTAAAAAATGAATGAAGAAGCAAATATTTCTTATATAAGATACAAAGAAAATCCCAGCAATAATTAATGAGATTAATTGCAATATTAATAGTAACTTTGTTTGATTTTTTTTGTATGGTACTTATGTTATTAGTGACCCTCTTAAGTAAAAGAGGACCCACAGCCAAGTTAATGTATAAATAGTGTAGAATAATGTGTTTAGAAATACAACAAGGCTCGGGTATCAACAGTCAAAGAGCTAAATTGTTTGTAGAGTTTTAAATTAATTGGGATTAGATTAAAAGAGGTAAAGTAATAGTATATTAGCGAGAGTCTAAAAATGTAAGGAAAAGTATAAATTTCAGATTTATTTATAGAGACAAGGATCATAATTAATACATTCACAGAATAGATACCTTTTGAACATAAAATCAATCAGTAATCAACACATTCACAATTGTTATTACTACTCTCCAATAAATAGTAGTGCTTATCGTTGATTGCCTATTGCAAACAAATACACATGGACTTTCACTAATACAAATTAATAAGTCTACAGCCTCAGTTATTTTTATGATAAAGTGAAACGAGGAAACAAAGTAAGTATTCTTCAGTGGTTTGTTAAGTTAAATACACTGGTAGTACTATATTTAGATAAGAAAAGTGAACAAATAAAACAATATTTAATAAAAGATGGAGCTATGTATCTTTCAAAAAATCTCTCTCTCTAGATACATAGCTCCATCTTTTATTAAATATTGTTTTATTTGTTAACTTTTCTTATCTAAATATAGTACTACCAGTGTATTTAACTTAACAAACCACTGAAGAATACTTACTTTGTTTCCT